GAAATAGGAATTAAGGAGGCAGAAGATAACGATTGACATTGTATTTACACTTTTGAAGATTAAAATTGACTTGAAAGCAAAAGAAGAAAAGTGAAGAGTGCGAGCGAAGAAACTGTTAGCATAGGACTTACGGTTACATCTAGCCATTTCAACTGTAAAATGATGAGACTTTGGCGTCAGCAGTGCACTTAAATTCATAAAATCATAGTGGAAAGATTATCAGAACAATTGCCTTGAAAATATTTATAGAAAAAGAACGAGGAAGCAACGTTAAGGCATTGGGAATGTGACTGAAGTTGAGATGCCCGGTCTGGACCAATAAAAATTCAGTTTCTTCTTCGGATTTTATCAAGAATCTCTAAATACATAGTAGAAGCACCAGACCATTTCTGGCAGCAATTTTCAATGCATGGATGAATAGTAGACTTATAAATGTGTAAGATAGATTATAGCCAAAAATATGTTTTAATCCAATATATGTTTTCATATCATTTGGATAAATAAAAAGTAATTATGTTATGCGTATAATAAATACTGACACTCACTCAAAAGTTGTTCTCAATAGTTTAATAAGGATGGTTAATATAAGCTGAAAGTCACATTATGTATGTTTTATATATATAAGCATATCCTGAATATTCTAACAACATTCGTTGGTGAATATCAATATTCCAACATCATATATATATATATATATATATATATATATATATATATATATATATATATATGAAAAAAAATGACAATAGGAAAACTGGTAATTGCTGACGTTTCGTCCAATGTGAACTTTATCAAAAGCAAAATACGAAAAATGAAATTAAATGAACAAAGTAACTTTTAAAAACAAAAAACAGAAAGACCTAGCAACTGGAATGTAGAGGAAACGCTATTTTCATATTTTTAACTAAAAAATAACGTCAGTATTTGTCACGTGTGGAGAATATTGTCATTATATCTGTGTTGATGTATTCAACCATTTTCTTTTGATTTTATGAATCTGTTTGTATATTTGTTTGTAAAGTGCATTAATTTTTTGTTAAGAAAGGTGAAATAAGGAAAAATACAGGCGTAGATTAATATTTGGGTAATTTTCTATGGCGGCACTCTTCAGAATTTTCCTTCTGAGTGTAGCATTTTTAAAATCAAAATTATGGTTGAATTTATTTCTATGTATGTATATATATATATATATGCGTGTGTGTGTGAGTGCATGTATATATTTATTTAAGCATATCTATGTCTATATATAAGCACTAACTGTAGAAGTACTGACACTAAAAATTAGATTCATACCTTTTACCGATATTTGAGCATTTATGTTTAAAATCGTTTAAAAATGGGCAGAAATATCTAATTTCCATAGGTTTTTGTTTAGAAACTACAATTTTTTTTATTTCAAGAATAAATCCAAATAAAATTAATAATTTTGTTATTAGATACATTGAATGGAAAATATATTAAAACCAGAATTCTAATTATGAATCACTAGTGGAAAAATATGCAATTTTCTTTGTATTTGATAAATGAAAACTGTAAAAATTGTAAATGAGTACAAAAAGGTCTAATCAATAAGATCTTAACACAGTTTGTTTTTCTACAAATTTATAAAAACAAAAATAAAAAAAATATATAATACCATAATACTGCTGGGCACAAATTATAAGACAAAATGTTTTAAATTTGCATTGTTTATTGAAAATCATCCTAAAACTACTAGCATGTTACATCCTAATATAGATCAATCGTTCAGTGTAATTTCCCTTTGAAGTAATTGAAGATCTTATTTGATGGCAAAATGATTTAGTAATAATGTTCTTGTACCTTGCTTCTTGTCCATTTGCAAATTGTGAAGCTTCTGTAATTAATTTAACTGCTCTTTCCACACCTTGCGAATGTGCAGGTAAATTTAGCAACTCCAGTGTTGTTCCATTCATTAGAACATATTGCAGTTCATTATTTAAAAAAAAAAAAAAAACTTTCTGGAAGCGCAGATTAACAAACTCCATTTTACAAGAGCTTATGTAATTTTTAAAAATCTTTTCTCTGGTGGCTCGTTACGTCCTATACAAAAAATATCTTTGTGTTGTAATTTTTTTATGCAACATTCTGTATTTCAGTCAACTCTTATTTATTCTCTGAATCAGTTGTTAGTTATGGAAATTATTATCTCTTTTACTTTTAAAGAAATTAACGGCACATATTTCAATTATGAATTTTATAAGGCTATACAATTTTCCATAGAATTTTGGTGGATAGGCACGTCTGGTCTATAAGCACATTAACCTGATGGCTAAAATTAAGCATCTTGCTTGATTTAAAGACCCAATTTTCCAGGCAAGCAAATCTTGGGTTCAGTTTCCCTTGAGAAATTCCTGCTGCATATTCTAAGTGCCGTCTTTGGTCACCTCTTAAATCTTTCACTGCATTAAGATATATGTTATCTAGAGGGCAATTGATAGTGTTAAATTCTATCTGGAGTAAATCCTGGTAATCATTTCCACAAAATTTCCCTAGAGAACCAACAAAAACAGTAGGGCTTCTTGTAGTTCCATCAATGTAGTTAAAAACAGCTCTAAATGGAATCATTTTGATGAAATGAACAGCCAGTAGTGTGCAACTTTCTTTTTATTTATTTTTTTTTTCCGACAGAACTGTAACAAGCCCTGACTCACAACCAGTGTTTGAACTGATAGTGTTCACAAGAACTGTCTTAATGGGATTTAGGCTGTTGAATTCTAAAACGGCAGCAATATCCTCTACTAGGATAACACCAGTTGCATCAAGGTTACGGATAACTCTGCGAGTGAGATATTTACTTTCATTCTCCATCTCTATTGATTTTCTTAATTTCGCTGTTTTCCTTTGTAATTTCTTTGTATTGTAAAGTGTTCTTATCAACTCTGCGATGATCCCCAAAGCAAATGATATTTTCACGGGTCCGTACATGCTTCTGATGGGCGGTTATTTTTACTCTAGCCTTTTACCTGTCTATCTTTGACGTATCAATGGTAATGTCCTTTGAGTTAAGGTTTGGAATAAGAAAGCCCATATATTCTAGGTCTAATAAAAGGGTATTAGCCAGACATGCCCCAAGGCTGGAAGATACATCACCCTTAATAATTTCTATGGCATATCTAGAGACTGTAAATTATCTTAGACTGTCTAATAAATGTCATCGGTTGTTTAATCACTAGATAACATTGGTGAAAAAATACCCGTTGTAAAGGTAACATGTGTAGAATCCTGTTGTTGCTATTTTCCAAACTGCCTGTCTAATCTCTCTGTTTCAGTTGTACGTTTTTGATATTTTGACAGCAAATTTGTCAATAGTTCCTAGTTGGAAACTACACTTTGGTCCTGTTTTCTCTCTCTGAGATTTTAAATATTTTCTTTCTTCAACGGGAATCTGAAACTTCAAAATGTGTATAAGCGTGAAAGAAGATCAAGCATACATGATAAATATGAAGGAAAATATCACAACGTTATTTATCAGTGAAGTGAATATTATCAGAAGTAAATTTATATTTTTTAAGTAATTTAGATTTTGTAAATCAGGACATGAAAGAAAAAAAAAACAAGCATAGAATTAACGTGAAGTTCTTGTAAGAAGGACAAGTGCAAAAATTACTCTATTTTAATAAAATTTCAAAGGTAAATTTGAAATAAGAAAAATAGACTAAAACAGTATTACCTACCTAAATGGAAATATAGTTTCTTTCACAGGAAGAAACAAACACAACATTTTAAATAAATAATTTTACAGTGACAAACGAACAGTGATAGAGATTTCAATATCGAATGTAATAAAAATAACAGCAAATGTTTATAACAGTGACAACTTAGATAATATCCATCGAAAAAAAAATCCGGGACAAGATTCATAAACAAAATATATTTATTTTACTACTGTTGATTAAAAAGAATAAATTTATAATTTTATGAGGTTTTATGGTATGTTTCTTTTTTCTTTTGAGAATTAGTCTAATTTTTTCCCACAAAACCTAAATTCTATATGAGAAAAAAAGGAACCGATTTTCATCTCTGGCCACAACCTAAATTCATTGTACAGGTTGTTCCAAAAATCACATTACCATTGATAACCTTGTAAATTTTATATTTATTTGCCAAATGGAATCATGTTTCTGTATGTAATAATATATTATTAAGAAATTTTATTGGTCGAATTATAAAAGATGATGTTATGCAACTTTTCCCTGGTTGCTATTTCACAAATGTACTTTTTCTGCCAATTGTTGCGTAACTTTTGGAACACCCTCTATTCAATCTTCCTTTTGCCTTTATAAAGTAAATATTTTATATTATTCATAATTCTGATTAATTTTTCTTTGATTTATTGAGAACGAGGTGAATGCTGCAATTGGAAAATATTTTATTAAATGATATTTACACATTTGTTTTCCATAAGGGTACGGAAGTTTTGACAGCGTTAAATCTTTTACTGATATCTGGAATTAAATTCCAACGTTCCACTTTTAAACCTAAACTTAATCTTTAAGCTCGTTTCCTCAAAAAACGGTAACGATTTTGAAAATGTATTTCGTGTAACATGATAATTTATCATTTCAAACCCCAAATAATCCAAATAAGTGAAATATCAAAATCGACCTGTACCATTTCACAAGGTCGGTCCAGAAAATATGTTATCATTTAATACTAACGTGAAAAGTAGCCAATCTAGGTCAATGGTGCTTTAGTTCCTTCAACGTACTTTTATATATGGTTGCTGTTTACTCGATTTAGAGCCTGAACAGGTTCTTAAAATAACCGCTGTTTAGCTCTTTTATGCAAGAAAGTACCGACAACTGAGAGAGATTATAGTAATAGGCACTTGTACAATATGAATACCACTTTGAATATCAACAGCCTTAATCCGGTGAATAGAATGCTTAAGATGACAGGTGGTAAATTCAATCGCAGTTGTTCTCTAAGACTAGTTTCCACCCAAGACTGAAGAGCCTTATCTACTATTTAACCCATAG